CCTTCCTTCCTTCCTTCCTTCCTTCCTTCCTTCCTTCCTTCCTTCCTGTTTTTGTATACTCAGCAGAATGAAGCTTCAAGACAGAGCTTAAGCTAACTGCCTACTCCCTGTGCTCAGTCCCTTTCAAGGAAGCTGTAGGTATATACACATGTGGCCTCTTCTTGCCAGTGAGAAACTGGGGTGTGGCATGAGAGCCCAGGCCACTCCCACAGCCCCGATGGGAAAAGGACAACCGAGTTGGCCCGCAGCTGGCACTCCCAGCCTCCTGGGACAGGGGCCTGGATGGTGCTGCAGGATTGATGCTGTGTATACTAGTGCATAGCACAGGCTTAGGGTGCCTGAGCTAGGACAGCTCCCAGAGAGCTTGGCGAGAGTCCTTCCAGCTGGGACCAGAGGCGAGCTCAGGGAGTGGGAGAATGCATAGTTTGGACCCAGTGGATAATGTTTGGGATTATTTCTCCAGATCCGGGAGACAGGAGAGAGACCCAGCAATGAGGAAATCATGCGTTTTTCCAAATTGTTTGAGGATGAACTGACCCTGGACAACCTCACGAGGCCTCAGCTGGTGGCGCTGTGCAAGCTGCTGGAGCTTCAGTCCATCGGCACCAACAACTTCCTGCGTTTCCAGCTCACCATGCGCCTGAGGTCCATAAAGGCTGATGATAAAGTGAGTTGGGCCAAACTTGAACCTATTGTAGCTTCTGTTCTGCCCACCGTGAGGCATCTTCTTGTCTTTGTTTTGTGCACACATGTCTTGATTACTCTTTCTGTCTGCAATACTCTTTCTTCTTGTTTTTCTTTCTCCTTTTCTTGTCATTCCTTTTTTCCACATAGCTCAGGCTGGCCTAGAACTTACTAAATGACCCAGGCTAGCCTCACATTTGTGGCAATCATTCTGCCCCAGGCTTCTGATTGTTAGGATTACAAGCATAAACCACAATTCCTGGGGTTTTGTTTTTGTCCCCCCACTGCCTTGGGAACAACAGTCCTGGGGATTGAATCCAGAACCTCATGTGTTATGTCAGCAGCACTCTGGATTTTCAAGACAGGGTCTCACTATGTAGTCTTGGCTGACCTGGAACTAGCTCTGTAGATCAGGCTGGCCTCAAATTCACAGAGATTCACTGGTCTCTGCCTCCTTGAGTGTTAGGATTAAAGGCCACCACTTCCCAACCTTTTTTATTTTATTTATTTGTTTGCTTGTTTGTTTGATGTCAGCACTCCTAATTCCTTAATATCCTCAGTCCTCTTTTTTTTTTTTAAAGATTCATTTATTCCTCAGTCCTCTTTTTTTTTTTTTTTTTTAAGATTCATTTATTTTATATGTATTAATGTTTTGCCTGCATATATGTGTACCACGTTTGTGCCTGGTGCCCTCAGATTTCAGAGGGCATGGGATCCTGAAACTTCAGTGATACATGGTTGTGAATCACTATGTGGGTGATGGGAATTGAACCTCTGTCCTCTGGAAGAACAGCCAGTACCTTTATCTATTGAGACATCTCTCCAGCCCAGCTTTCTTTTCTTTTTTAAATTTTTTCCATTTTTCTCATGTGTAGTATTTATGTGTGTATGTATGTTTGCATGAGTGGGTTCACACACGTGTGGAAGCCCAAGGATGATGTTGGGAATCATCTTTGATTGTTTCTCCATCTTACTCAGTGCAGCAGGGTCTCCCAGTCAAACCCAAGCTCACCGCTATGGCTAGTTTCCTAGCCAGCTTGCTTTTCAGAGTCCTCTGTCTTCCAAGGCTGGGTGTCACATAACCCAGGCTAGCTGCCAATTCCCTATGCAGCCAAGCTTAGCATGTAACTTTTTTAAAACAGATTTTGTGTCTGTGTGGGTGCACACAGGCATGGGCCTCACACATCGTATATGTGGAGTCAGTTACATGTGCATGAGTCAGTTCTTTAAATTCTATCATGTTGGTCTCAGCTCAAACTCAGGTTATCAAGCTTGGTGGGAAGTGCTGTTTTGCTGTCTTGGCCTTCAGCTCTCCCTCTTGCTTCTACCCTGTAAGTGCTAGGAGCTAGGATTGCAAGCATGTCCTAGCACACCTTTTCTTTACTTTTTGTTTGTTTGTTTGTTCTTTTTTTGAGACAGAGTTTCTCTGTGTAGCCCTGGCTGTCCTGGACTCACTTTGTAGGCGAGGCTAGCCTTGAACTCCCAGAGGTCCACTTGCCTCTATCTCCCAAGTGCTGTGATTAAAGGCCCCCCCAAGGCCTAAAGGCATGTGCTATCATGGCCCCCCTCCCTTCCCCTTTCTTTCCCTCCTCCCTATTTTTCTGTCCATCTGTGTATCTATTTTGATACAGGCAAGGCCTCTCTACTTAGCCCTAGTTGTCCTGGAACTCCATATGTAGCTCAGGCTGGCCTTGAATTTACAGAGATATGCCTGCCTCTCCCTCTTAAGTGCTGAGATTAAAGGTGTATGCCACCATACCTGGCCCTTATTTTTCTTTCCCAAACATACTAATTATAATTCCCATTCAGTATCATAGGACCAGGACTGTGGAGTCTGTGGGTCTTTGTGTTTGTTGTTCTTCTTGGTTTTGTCTATTTGCTATATTTCATTTTTCTGAAATACAGGCACTGACTGTATTGACTGAGATTCTTCTCTCAGAAAGGGCTCAGTGAGCAAGCCCAGGGGCTGGCTGTCTCTATCCTTGTCAGGAAAGCCTTGGGCTAGGAATGTGTCACAGAACTAAAAAGGAGGAAGCTAGCAAGGAGCTAGCTTTTGTTTTGTTTTGGTTTTGGTTTTTCAAGATAGGGTTTCTCTGTGTAGCCTTGGCTGTCCTGGACTCGGTTTGTAGACCAGGCTGGCCTTAAACTCACAGAGATTTACCTTCCTTTGCCTCCCTGAGTGCTGGGATTATAGGCATGCACACCACACCTGGCTCAAGGCGTTGACTTTTTTCCTTAGCAGGTAGTAACAAGTACCTCCACTCCACCAAGGTGTCATTAGAGACAAGTGTCAGATGGGGTCAGCAAAGGCCCAGTGGAATCAGGACCTTAACACCTGTCCAGCAGTAACAAGACCAGCTTCTGTGGTATCAGTGGGCGTGAGGTGGGAAGCAAGAATACAGAACGTCGCCATGGAGTAGGGACAGACAGCTCGAGGAACTGGCACTGTGCCTTTGTCCCCTTAGGGAGCAGCCAGAGGTTGGTTTTCACTTAGGACATGAAACAGAGAGATAAGTTTTGTGTTTGGTGGAGAAAACCAGATCACAGAGCAACTATGGCTGTTAGCTGCAAGATCATAACTACAGTATCTATAAAGGTAGTAACCCCACACCCAGCAGTGTCGAGGAAGCCAGTAAGGCAGAAAGTAGAATCCTGTCCAGAGTCTTCTGCCATGTACTCATGTGTCTAGGTTTGATTGAAAAATCACTTGTCAGGGCTACAGAGGCTACAAGTGTTAAGGCACTTGTTGTCTTTACAGTGATTGTGAATTTGGCTCAGCACTCACATGGTGGTTCACAACCATCTGCAATTCCAGCTCCAGGAGATTTTCTTTCCCCTTTCTTTCCTTCTTTCTTTCCTCCCTACCTCCCTCTCTTTTTCCCTCCCTCCTCCCTCCTTCCTTCTTTCCTTCCTTCCTTCTGTTTTTCAGGACAGGGATTCTCTGTGTAGCCTGGCTGTCCTGGACCTCACCCTGTAGACCAGGCTGGCCTTGAACTCAGAGGTGCACCTGCCACTGCCTGCTAGGATTAAAGGCATGCGTCGCCATTTTCCAGCTCCAGGGGATAACCTCTTCTGACCTCTTTGGGCACCAGTCACACATGTGGTGCACATACATGTATGCAGGTAAAACACTCATACACATAAAATAAATAAGTCTTTAAAAATTAAGAAGGAAGAATGGAAAAGAGGAATCACGTGTCACACCAAGAACCATGATGCAGTCCATAGGCAGAAAAAGGCAGTAAGCAGATGCCACTATTGAGAGGCGGATACTGGAGAAACTGGAGAGGTTTTGTCCTGATTTTGTTTTGAGGTAGTAGTCTTGCTCTGCTGCCTAAGCCACCATTAAACTCCTGCCTCAGACTTTACAACCACAGGCACACACCACTGTACCAAGCTTCTGATAGCAGCCTTGATGCAGCCATTATATGGATGTTTAAACACAACTTACAGATGAACTAGGCAAAAATCTCAGGTGCACAAGGATATAGAGTCACAGGAAGAGTTAGAGCCACGTGGGAAGCCTGGTGGCAGGGTGCAGCAACAGTCAAAGAGGGTGGGACCGTGCATAGGAGCTGCCTCTGGGAAATGAACAGTAGTACTCAATTCAAGCACCATGTCCAGTGTTTATCTTAAAAGGACCCAGAGGACATGAGAAACACAGTGACCATGATCACAAGAACCTAGAAGAAATAATGACTTCAAGCTTCTCAAATTCAAGAGAATATATGCATTTATGACATGTATTAAAAGGCAAAATGAGCTTGGCGATGGTGGCGCACACCTTTTCTCCCAGCACTTGGGAGGCAGAGGCAGGCAGAGCTTAGCTCCAGGACAGACTGGTCTGTAGAGTGAGTTCCAAGACAGGCAGGGCTACACAGAATAACCCTGTCTCAAAATGGGGGGTGAGGGGGAAGACCTCTAAAGGGGTACATCTGAAGAAACTGCTACCATGATGCTCCAATTCAAACTAACACCACAGACACCATACAGAGCAGTAAGAGGGATGTAAAGAACATAGGGACAGTGGTTTCCTCAAAACTGTGAAGCTAGATGACTTTTCCCATACAGCCAAAATGTTGTCTGCAGCCAAAGGTTCCATAGGAATGAGGAACAATGCAGGATGGTGGTGGCACACCCCTTTAATCCCAGCACTTGGTATGCAGAGGCAGTTGGATCTTTGTGAGTTCAAGGCCACCTGGTCTACAGAGTTCCAGGACAGCCAGAGCTACACAGAGAAACCCTTTCTTGAAAAAACAAAACAGAATGAGGGCAACCAGGTAAAGGAACACAAGAGTTGTCACAATGTCCTTAAAGAATAGCCAAAGAGACAAGGGAGACGGCTTAGTTGGTATAGTGCTTGCCGTACAAGGGTAATGACTGAGGTTCCCAGAACTCAAGTGCAAAGTTGGTACAGAGTTGTGTGCCGATAAACCCAGCACTTGCATAGGCAGAGACAGTGGCTCCCTGAAGCTTATTGGCCAGGCAACCGAGCTGCATAATGAGCACCAGGTTCGGTTACGCTCTTGTCCCTGAAGAAGCAGAGTGATCAAGGAAAGACACCCAAATATAATTCTGCCTTCCAAATCTGAATGCACACATTAATGTAAAAACAGTGTATGTACAACACAGTACACACACATACAAATGCCAAGGAAAGTTTTTACCCAAAATGATTATACAGTGGAGGATGAGACTTTGGAATATCAGAAGAAAGGAGGCAGGTAGAAGAACTTTGAGCAAGTGTGGCCACCGCTACTTTTAGAACTGGAGGTCTGCAGCGCTTTTGATGTAGTTCTCTGAGACAAGAGAAAATACATGACAAGATCAGGAATGGGAGAAGGCAGAGGAGGGTGAGTGCCTGCCCATTGCCCCGCTCTGTAAGTGTGCTCTATTTCCAGAGCACTCCTATCTTCCCAGAAAGTGCTGCCCTGGCCAGAGGGAAACGGGCAAGAAAACCAACCAAAAATAGCTTTTGCACAGTTAATAAACTGGAAATAGCCCCATCTTCCTGGAAGAATAGATAAGCAGAATGATTGACCCAGCCTGTGGGAAGCTGCCCATCAGTCAGGAGCGAGCTTTGCTGCCCACAGCAGATGTGTCCTCAGGAGCTGCAGGGGTTCTTACCACTTGATTTCTGTGTGTTTCCATGTTTATGATATTCTTGAAATAACAAGTGTCAGCCATGGAAGTCAGGGTGTATACAAAAGGCAGCATAAGGAGTCTTAGTCAGGGGGATGTGGTTCCGTCCTGCCTAGAGTGAGAAGGGTGGGCATGTGTCTGTAATTATCTCAAAATGTTTAATTCAAAAAACAGAGCGGTGGTGCGGTGACGTAGCTGTGCAGTCATAGGCTTGGCAAGGGCTCGGAAGTTGCCAAGCACAAAGTGGCACCCCAGTGTTTACCTCATTTCTTCTCTCCCTCAGCCTGTTGCTTCCTCTGGCCTCCAGGTCTCCTGTATTCCAAATTGGAGTCAGTATGACTGCGTAAGCACAGACTGAAGTAGAGGAAACACTTCTGGGTATGAGGCCAAGGTGCCTTCAGGGTCTGTGACTCTGTCACTCAACACTGTGGACACTAAACATTCTGTGGCAGGTCATGAGCAGACAGGGCAGGGCTGGTTCTGCTGACAGGAAGAAGCAGGTCCTTCCTAGCATCTTCTCTAGGTGGTGCATACATCGACATGGGCTTTTTGACATCTTGGGGTTAAGTCTGGCCATTGTGTGCTTTCAAGGTCCTGACCTTTTCAGGATGGCTTGAGTCACTTCAGACTCAGAACCTGCATTGGTGGTACTATTTTGCCCTTTCCTTTTTTTTTTTTTTTTTTTTTTCTTTTTTCCTGGTGCCAGGGAGAAACCCTTGGCTCTCAAAGCACTGAACTATACCTCAACCTAATACTGTGGCAAAACATATCTGGAAAATGGCAGTGGCTGTTGCTGCTGCTGCTTCTTCCTCTGACTTTTAAAATTGTATACATATAAGTGTTTTACCTACATGTATACCACATGAGTGCCTAGTGACCATGGAGGTCAGAAGAGGGCATCTCTAACTATAGTTAAAGATAGTTGTGAGCTACCATGTGGGTGCTAGGAACCAAATCCAGGTCCTCTGCAAGAGCCACAAGTGCTCTTAACTGATGAACCCTCTCTCTAGCCCCAGGAAAATGGTTTCTAATTCAGTACTTTTGTCCCCAGTTGTGTTAACATCAATGTGATAGATCTGGGATGATCTTGAGAAGCAGTAATTGGCGTACTTTCTTTTCCAGCTGATTTCTGAGGAAGGAGTGGACAGTCTGACTGTCAAGGAATTGCAGGCAGCGTGTCGAGCACGAGGTATGCGAGCACTTGGCGTCACGGAAGACCGTCTGAAGGGCCAGCTCAAACAGGTATGTGGCTTAAAGGGCTGGTTGGGGCAGGTCCATAACTTTCTTCTCTGTTGGGAATTGTCTACCTTTGCTCCAGACTAGCACAGGTGGGTTTTTTTTTTTTGGGGGGTGGGGGCCAGGGAGTTCAACTAGAAAAGTCCCTGAGGTTGGGATATGGCCCAAGTGAATACATATCTGGCACACATGATCCCAGACTTCCTTCCTCAACACCGCATGGAGTATACACATACCCAGAAACCTGAATGTGGTGGCACATGTTGCAACAGAAGGATCACTGAGTTTTGTCTCAGAACAAACAGAGGGAAAGAAAGGTCTAGGGTCAGTTGACAGACTGCCTGCTTAGCATGCACAAGTACCATAGGAACATGGTTGTGCACACTTGTAATCCTGGTACTCAAGATGTGAAGGCAGGCTTTCGAGACAGGCTTTTTTGTGTATCCCTGGCAGTCCTGGAAGTTGCTTCATAGACCAAGTTGGCCTCAAACTCACAGAGACCTTCCTGCCTCTGCCTCCTGAGTGCTGGGATTTAAAGGTGTACACCACCACGAGATTTATTTATTTTATTTTTATGTATATGAGTGTTTTGCCTGCGAGTATGTATATGTATCACATGCCCTCCAAGGTTAAGAGGTGTTGTGTCCCCTGGAACTAAAGTTATAGACAATTATAAGTATCCATGTGGGTGCTGGGAACTGAACCCAGGTCCTCTTCCTAAACAAGTGCTCTTAATAGATGAGCTCTCTCTCTCTGGCCCCTCTTCTCATCTGTTACCCTGTATTCAGTATGTAAATGAAATATAACAGCTTTTTCTGTCTACTTGAAAGGCTGTCTTGGTGTCAATAACGTACCCTGATAACATGAGCCCATGACATGCCTTCACGTGAATGTATACTCATTTTCATGTTCTTATGCGGACATCAGAAGACAGCTGTCAGGAATCTGTTCTCATGCTACCTGTGGGATCTGGGGATCAAACTCAAGTTGTGAAGTCTATGAACAAATGTATGAAGCCGGCTGTGACGGCCCACATCTTTATTCCCACCCTGTCTCAGGCAGGGGTGGGGTTAGCTCTACCTGTTAGGCCATCTTCTAGCCTTCAAATTGTTTTTACATGGTGTTGGGGTTCAACTGAAGAATGCATATATAATAGGGAACCATTTTGCCGCAGCCTGTGCCCTCTAAAAATTTTGTTGTGTGAGACCCTGTCTAGCTATGGCTGTCCTGGAACTTGCTGTGTGGACTAGACTGGCCTTGATTTCACAGAGATTCGCCTGCCCCTGCCTCCTAATTGCTGGGATCAGAGGTGTAAACCATCACATCCAGCCTGCCCTCCAACATTTAAAAAAGAAAGAACTTTTTTTTTTTTTAGACAAGGTCTCATACTATATGACCTAGGCTGGCCTCATGTCTGTGTATCCTGCCTCAGCCTTTCCACCATTGTTTTTATTTATATCTAAACACATGAGCCAGTGAGATGGCTCCACCAGTAAAGGTGTTTGCCTCCAAGTTTGAAAACCTGAGTTTGATTCCCAGCACCCATGTGATGGAAGGGAAAACTTGACTCTCAAAAGTCATTCTCTATCTCTGACTTCCATTTGTGTGCCTCTGTGGCGTGTGCTGCTATCCCTCCCTTCCAGATATATAGATGTGAGGTAAATGAATGAAGACCTAAAAGTTACAAATAGTATTGGGTACCATGTAGTTTACATGTGTATCCTAGGCCTCTGTTTGTTTGTTTGTTTTCAAGTGTCAGGTTATATAGCCCAGGCTACCATGGAGTGTGATCCTCCTGCCTCAGCAAGTGCAGGGATTACAGATAAGCACCACCATTCCTGGGCCAGTGTACCAGGCTGTTTTTAAGCACAGAGCACACTGAGCATTCTCAAGGTACCTGAAGCTGATGATCAGTTGTTCAGCTTACCGAGGGGTGGGTTTGTATGTGTGTCTGCACCTAATGCTATATATACTGGATTTTTTTAAATATTTATTTTAGTGTATTGCATGTATGTTGGTGTACATCATGCATGCAGGTGCCCATGGAGGCCAGAAGAGGGTGGCAGATTCCCCAGAACTGGAGTTACAAACAGTTGTGAGCTGCCATGTGAATGCTAGCAACTGAAGCCGGGTCCTCTACCGGAGCAGCCAGCGCTGTTTCCAGCCCCCAAAAGATACTTTTAAAATTTCTTTTTTGGGAAATGCATTTTAGTAATTTAATGAACCTGTTTACTCCAGTCATGTTTGCTTGTGGCACCCAGAATCAGTATCTCTTAACTAAGCCCAAGCAACAGAAGGAGACTCCGGGGCGGGCAGTCCAGCGTCTTGCAGGAGAGGCCGGGGGCCGGGGGTCAGGCGAGGACAGCATGTCCTGTGAGTGTGCTTTGGTTCCAGTGGCTGGACTTACACCTGCATCACGAGATCCCCACCTCATTGCTCATACTGTCCCGGGCCATGTACCTCCCAGACACCCTCTCGCCTGCTGACCAGCTCAAGTCCACCTTGCAGACCCTTCCAGAGATCGTGGTATGTATTGTCAGAAGACCCTTTACCTCTGTGGGCTTGGGCTGGAACCCTGAGCTGCACAGCTGTGGGGACTCTCCAGGAGACCCTGGTCTTCCTGTCCTCTTCGTTGGCTCCCTACTTTGTCTCCCTGCCCAGCCCTCTATGTGGCACAGCCTCAGGCACAGCAGTGCCAAGGTAGCAAATATGAATTGATGGTTTGAGTTTTGCCTTTGGTGCACTCAAACAGTCCTCTGATGGATGGACAGCCTCACCCATGGAAGCCTTGGAACCTCTAACCACTTTGGAGGCAACATCCCCTTAGTGTATCTCCTGCTCTGTGTGAAGCCTGGGTGGCGACATTGCTCAGACAGAGGTAAGGGCTTCCTAAGTCTGGCGCCTCGGGCCTACCGCAGTTACCTTTTCCTTCTGCCTTTCCTCTGAAGGCAAAGGAAGCTCAGGTGAAAGCAGCAGAGCTGGAGGGCGAACAGGTGGACAACAAGGCGAAGCTGGAGGCCACACTGCAGGAAGAGGCCGCCATCCAGCAGGAACACCTGGAAGAGCTGCAGAGGGCTGCCGAGGCTGTGGTAAGCAGCTGCCCTGACGCTCGCGACCCCAGGCCGTCCCAGCCCAAGTTTCTTAGCGCCTGCCTTGTGGCCATGTATGTGCTCTCAGTCCTACCCTGTCCTTCCCCGCAGGGGCCAAATGGTACAACACAGGAGGGCTTGACTGTCGAGCTATAGCTCTCAGGAACAGTGCAATAGAATACATGGGGTGGCATCTAACTGTCTGGTCACCGTTGGCATAGGAGAGGCCAGCTTAGCACCCAAGCAGGAGTTAGTAAGGGACCCAACTTCTCAGGGTTGTTTTGCTAAGAGTGGCTGACTCCCCATGACTCTGCTCACCTCTTCGCTTCATGGTCTCAGAATCTGCCAGAGCTCAGAAGCTGTAATGTGACTGGAGTTGCCTAGATTAGTTATGCACATCCCTTCACTTAGACTCAGTCCCAGAGATGGAGCAACGTGCTCTGCCTGAAGCTGTCGAGTGTCTTCGGGTGGCCTCCTCATCCTGGGGCAGAGGAACTGCTCTGCGGGATAGTGATCAGTAGGTCTCCCTTATCACTTACCAGAGTATTCCAAGTGCTACCTGTCAAGGCTACATGCTGAGTATGGAGCCAAAGCCAGATGACCAGTATGGTATTGCTTACATTTCAGAAGGACATCCGGCCAGAAGTAGCAGAAGCCACTGTCCCTGGGAGGCCAGGGCCCATGCTTCAGCCAGAGGTGCCTGATGTGATCCTGCCCTCAGAGGCACTGAAGGATACGGCACCTGTGCTGGAAGGTTTGAAGGTGAGCTATATATGACCAGGACAGGAGGAGGAGGAGCGCTGGACTGTGTGTGGGCCCCTTATCTCCTAAAGAGGTCTTGCTGGGCAGGGCACCCTCCTCCCCTCCAACACTTGTGACCTTCCCAGAGATCATGGTATGTATTGTTGGGAAAACCCTTTGACTCATTCGCTTGGTGGGTTGGGGCTCTCCTCCATGGCCATGTAGCCTCCAACAACACTTTTAATCTCTGGTGAGCTGTAGTAGTGGCCAGGAGTAGAGAGTGGCCAAGGTAGGAGAAGCTGAAAGCATATGTATGACCCTGTGTTGAGGCTGCCACGCTACTCATGGGTTTCTAGGCCCTTGTCTCCTTCTGCTGGGAAGAGACGTGAAGAGTGGCCCTTCAATTCAAAGCTTCCTCTGCAGAGGCCCGCCCTGGTGTCATTTGCTGGGTGATTAAGTGTGAGGCCTCTTGAGAAACTCCTGTCAGCTTGTTGTCAGTGAATTGGGCAGAACAAGAAAAACCTGGGATCTTCTGTGCTGATGTCAGGGATTCCACATGTAGAAGCAGATGTTCAGATTTGGTGGAAACTCTCTTAAGTGGATAGAGACAACTTGGTAGCTGAGAGAACTAGGTGGAAGCTGTGTGTTCAAGCAGGTCTCTGCCTGGGGTCCTGTGAGATAGCAAGAGCCCTGAATGGGTGGTCAGGGTCACATGCAGAGCTCAGAGAAGGGAGGTAAAACTCGTTCTTGATGAAAGCAGGAAGTGTGGTGTGCTGACCGCCGATGCCTCTGGCAGACAGGAACCTTTGCAAGGGATATGAGAAGATTTCTGACCCTGGCCTGGCCACTGAAGTTGTGCTCTGCTGAGAGGGGGAAGAAAGCATGGGTGGGCGAGGCAGACCCTAGTGGGCTTCTCTGAAGATTTGGCCTATAAAAAGCAGGCTGCTGTATGGCCCAGGAGACCCCAGAATAGACATGTAGCATGATCAAGGCTAGAAGGTCATGGTAGTGACAGAGTCCCCAAAACCTAGACTCAAGGCGGGGCCCAGACATTCCTGCAAAAGCAGGCTGTAACATAGAGACACGTGATTCCTGGGGTTTGATGGCCAGCCAGCCTAGCTGAATTAGTAACCTCCAAGTCCTGTCTCACAAAAGAAGGCGGAGGAAGCCAGGCAGTGGTGGTGCACAGCTCAGCACTCAGGAGGCAGAGGCAGGTGGATCTTTGAGTTCGAGGCCAGCCTCGTCGACAGAGCGAGTAGGAATAACAACAATAAGTAAAAACAGTAAATAAGCCTCTCACAACTTAATAAGAAGAAAATAAATCTTGGACACACCTACACCTGTACACATAAAAATAAACAATTTTTTTAATGTAAAAAGGGTTAAGGATATGATTCCATTAGAGTTCTTACATAGTGTACTCAGGGTCCTAGGTTCAGTGCCCAGTATTGCAAAACAGAAAAATTTTTGGCCTTCCATCCAGTGTTGGTGAGGATATGGAAGGCCTAGATCACTTTGGGAACCACTTTGATGGTTTTCTAAAGCAGCAAACTCATATCCTGTGATCAGCTGCTCTACCCATATACATAGACATTCACAGCAGTTGCCATTATAGTCACAGAAAGTCTTAGGAAGGAGAGAGCTGTGCTTTGGTGTTGCTGTCCAGATTAGAAATACTTTATCATTGGATGTCAAAATAGGTGAGTTGATCAAAAGAGGCAGAGCTGGTAATCCCTCTCCTATGAAGTTCTAGAAAACAAAGGCTGTCCTATAGAGCAAAGGCAGGTCAGTCTTGCCTGGGGATGGAATCCTGGGGATAAGGGAATATTTGGGGATAAGCAGTGTGCTCACTCTGCCGGCACACCAAGAAGACACAGACAGAGGTACCATAGCCAGCATAGCCCAGAGCTGAGTTGCAGCTCACTTGAGGCTGTCATCAAGTGCTTTCGACATTTAGGGACAGAAACTATTTGTCCCCTTAGGTTTAATGCATTTCTTTTCAGGGAGAAGAAATAACCAAGGAGGAGATTGACATCCTCAGTGATGCCTGCTCTAAGCTAAAGGAGCAGAAGTCGTCCCTGACCAAGGAGAAGGAGGAGCTGGAGCTGCTGAAAGAAGATGTGCAGGACTACAGTGAGGTGGGTGGCCATACAATATGGACCAGTGTAGGTAGCTTCAGCAGCTGTTCAGGGCCCAGGCCGACACTGGAGTAGCTAGAATACAGCTTTATCAGACCCCAAAGCATCAAGAACCATTCCTGTTGGCATTACTTTTAACTCTGTTTTATTTTGGTGTCTTTGGCTACTATTTCCCTTCAATGCCCCCAACCCCCACCCTTGGTAGGAGAAAAAGAAGGTTAGAGGGGAAAGGGGGCAGAGTTCTCTGTAGCTACTTCCTGCTGGTTCTTTGGAGCAATACTAATTTCAGTTGTCAGGATTTTCAGTAGCACCCTTCTTCTCTGACTGTCTCCTCCAAGCCTTCCCCCTCTTCCTCCCCCTCCTCCCTCTCAGTGTTTTTCAGAGCATTTTTTTTTCTCTCTCTCTGGACTCTGGTATTTGTACCCTCTCAAAGTCCTCAGAATTAAAGTATCTGTAGCTGGCAAAGAGATACCCCTCTCCAAGCTGTGCAAGGCATGTATCAGCTGTGGACAAACTGAAAACAGCTCTATATCCCACACTTGGGATTAAAACAAAAACCTGTTTACATACCACAACTGAGTTTTTAGAGAAACCAAAACTTCCACTACACATTCCTGTCACATATATAACATGCTGGCCAGAGAGAATTTGGAGAAAAAGCAAATGGAAAAAATTTTGACCAGGGATCTGATGAACAGTAGAGCACAAGGCCTAGCATGTACAAGCCCTGAGTTTAGAGTGCCAGCACCAAAAGGCAAAGTTTATCTTAAAGCTTTGCCACAGTAATTCTAACTGGGCCACTTTGTAGTAAATGACACCCTTTTGCTGCTAAGGAGATAGTGACAGGATCAAAACCCAGGTGTTGTGTAAACAGTTTCGTCACTTAACACTTGAAATCTTCCTTTCATTCATGACCCTCCAGGGTATTTCTTTTCTTATGGAGTGTTGTCCCTCCCTTCCTTTCCATTCTCCTTTTCTTTCTTTCCTAGTGCTAGGATTGATCCCAGACCTTGAGTGTGCTAGACCAGTGCTGTTGCACTCACTATGTCCTCAGCCCCAACAGACATTGTTTTCAATCTGAGGTAACAGTACTATTATCCCCACTCTGCTGGGAAAGTCATGACCCAGAGAGTGTTATAAATCAATTGCTATTTCTCGTCTTCCCTGTGGTAGTCTCCTCTGGCTGTGTGACCTCTCCACCAGAAGAAACCACATTGTTCAGCAGACAGACAAGACAGTGTCTCATTCCTCTCTGTGCTCACCCTGCTCTTGTCCCTGTGATCTTTGATCCATGGAAGGAAAGAAGGTGCTTAGGTTTCCTTGAGCCTTTATATTTATTCTTTAGTAACTACAAAGGAAGTTGAAATTCAGAACAGATTTTTTTTCCCTCAAATACAAAAAAAAAAAAAAAGCTTGAGCTTACAAAAATAAGTTAATAAGAACAAACTTGCATGATAGAACTAAGATCTCCCAGTTTTCTGAGGCTGAGTTTAATTCCTGTCTGGTTGGTTTTTGTTCTGCACACACAGGACCCTGTGCACACTAGGAAACACTGTACTACTGAGCACATGCCAGCACAAATCAGTGGCTTACTTTCTTTTTCAAGTCCAAACTGATGTAGATCCCTTCCTGTTTGGGGGGGATAAACTTTTTTTAAATTAGGACTTACAGGAGATCAAGAAGGAACTTTCAAAGACAGGTGATGAGAAATACATAGAAGAATCCAAAGCTAGCAAGAGGCTGACAAAGCGAGTCCAGCAGATGATTGGGCAGATTGATGGCCTCATTGCACAGCTGGAGACCAGTCAACAGAATGGCAAGCTGGGCCCCGATGAGAGCTCTCTGGCAGGGTAAGTGAGCCATGGCCCAATCTAGCCTGACCTGCAGCAGACAGGTGCTTTGCTGGGATCTCCTTCCAAAGCAGATCTCTTTGGCCTGTGCCTGCCCACCCCACCTGGGGCCCAGGGGCAGCCAGGATCACAAGAGGTCTTTGCTCTTATGTTTCTTTCCTTTACAGCTCAGTTTCTCTATCCCCATGCTTGTTTTCCTGGGTCGCTCAGATCGGTCTTCTTCCTGCCTGTGTCTCCTAACCCATCTTTCCTTCCTTTCCCTTGAGCTTTTAGTCTTAACCCCACTTGGCCCCTGGTTCTTCAGACTTTTAGGTTTCTTCCTGCTTCCTCCCATCTTTAACCCTGGGATTATGACACCAATTGTGGTCAGTCTGCTTTCCCGAGAAGATACCAGGAAACAGTGACACACTCCATACTCCATGGCCCAGCTCCGAGTGGACTGCCACAAGCCCTGACCATAGCCTTTTCAGTGAGGGCAGGTGGCTGCAGCTGGGTACCCAGAGACCCCCCGTTACCTCCAGAGGAGGATGTTTTCTCTTGAAGGCTGTTGGCTCCCTAGAAGACACAGGCCTAAGGACCTGTGGAGCTTCTCACTGTGGGGATGTGCACATGTGGACAGGGCCAGAAGAAGGTGTCAGACCCCCTGGAGCTGGAATCACAGACATTTGTAAGGCACCGATGTGGGTTCAGTTCTGGGAACTGCACTCAAGTCTTCTGTAAGAGCAGTAGTTGCTCTGAACCACTGAGCCATCTCTCTAGCCTCAAGGTTTTTTTAAACTTTGTTGTTTTTTTTTTTAGTCGGTGTTTTTGTGGATGCTGAAAATTGAATCAGGGTCCTCTGGGAAAGCATTTAATGCTCTTAACTGCTGAGCCATCTCTCCAGCCCCAAGATCTTTTCTTTTTTCAATTTTGTGTGTGTCTAGTATGTATGAGCATGTGTGTGGATATAGTTCTTCATATGTGCTATATGTGCAAGCGTGTATGTTCTAGTGTATGTACTTATGTGCACACAGAGGCTGTCAGCCTATAAGTCCATGATCATCCTGTCTCTGTGGGGTTATAGACACATGTATGACCACTCTCAGCTTTTTACATGTGTTCTGAGGGTTTGAAATCAGAGCCTATGGGAAGAGCTGGAGGTGACATGAGACCAAGCACCTGGCCAATGTCATATACAGACTGTTCTCCCCAGGGAGAGTGTCATCAGTGTCAGTGAGCTCATCAGCGCCATGAAGCAGATCAAGGACATTCCAGAACACAAGCTCATCAGTTTGGCCTCAGCCCTGGATGAGAACAAGGATGGCAATATCAACATCGATGACCTTGTTAAGGTGGGTCTCAGCGAGGACTGAGCCAGGCAAGCTGGCCTGGCTGCTTTCCTGCTCGAGGGCCGGGGGTTTGGGGAGGGGCCCTGAGACTCTCAGGAGGGTCCTGGATGGTGGCTCAGCCAGTGGTTAAGGGCACTGGCTGTTTTTTGTTTTGTTTTGTTTTGTTTTTACTTATTTATTTTTATTTTATGTCCATTGGTTTTTTTGCCTACATGTATGTCTGTGTGAGGGTGTCAGATCTTGCAGTTACAGACAGTTGGGAGCTGCCATGTGGGTACTGGGAATCGAACCCAGTGCTCTTAACCTCTGAGCCATCTCTCCAGCCTGGGCACCGGCTGTCCTTACAGAAGACTGGGGTTCAGTTCCTACCCCCACATGGCAGTTCACAACTGTTTGTAACTCTAGCTCCATGGGATCTGATACCTTCACAGACATGCAGGCAGGCAAAACGCCAGTGCCTATAATAAAAATAAGTAAATCCTTAAAAAATCTTTTAAATGTATCAAGAGGTCAGGTCTGCAGGCCAAGTGTCTCAGCCCTTTGCCCTCATTTGAAATCACATTGGAATTAAGTTACAGACATATTGGTGAGATATCAAAATGAGTCCCTGCCCTGCCACAGGCACACTCCAGCATGATTCCTTTTATTGTTTCGGGGAAACAGAGTAAACACCTCTGCTAGGACCCGTTTTGAGGCCCCCTGAGACCTGAGGGACACTGAGAGGGTAGAGCATGTAGGGATAGTGGCTAAGCTCCAGGTACGCCAGCCCACAGGACCTGAGTTGGGATCCAGCCTGCAAATTGTCATGGAGCTACTTAAATTGTAAGTCATGTTTTTGAGAAAAGAACTTAACGCTGTCTTCATGCTTCTCAGCATACCTGGCCAGTTTGCCTTTTTTCTGCATATGGCCAGAGACACCAGGTAATTACCTTTAGTTCCATTCTTAAACAGGTGCCATCAGACATGCATGCTGAGCATTTTCCATGCTCTGCCCTCAGTCAACATCACAGGAGCAAAGGTACCCCAATGCCCGCCCCTTGCTGTACCAGGAAAGCCATGTTCAGGGCAGATCCTAGGCCTTTAGCAGTGTGGCAGGGCTCTGCTGGCTGGAATAGGGCATTGATGCCACAACCTTGCTGTGAAGTCTATGGCCCCTGGAGGTCCGAGACTCTTGAGTACCAGAGCAGCAGGAGGAACCCAGACATCCATAGCATGCAGCAAAATGGCCAGAGCCCAGCCAAGAAGATGGCTCAGAGGAGGCGTCAAGTCCTCTCTCCCCAGAGCTGTTAAGGGAAGCAGATGAAGGCAGTGGTGGGCACTTCCTAAGTCTTCCCTCTCCTGTGTGTGTAGGTAATTGACTTAGTGGACAAAGAAGATATTCAGATCTCTACCACCCAGGTGGCTGAAATTGTGGCCACACTAGAGAAGGAGGAAAAGGTGGAAGAGAAGGAAAAGGCCAAGGAGAAGGCTGAGAAAGAGGCTGCAGAAGTGAAGAATTAGAGCTGCCTGCTTTCGGCGTCTGCCATCATCATGCTACACCAACCACAGTGGGGATGACACAAGAGTGGTTGCTTTGAGGTGATTCTTAGTGGCAAATCTAATATTTTGTCTGGAATAAATCAGAAACTTCCATAATCAAGTAATTTTAAATTTTCATCATTCCACGAAGATTCAGTCAGGCTGGAGCCCTAGAGCCCTCTGGGTCTTAGACTCATGCCATGGTGTGGTACTAAATGGCCCTAACCCTTGAGTTAAGGGTACAGCTACCAATAGGATCATAGCCCCACACTGACCCCTAGCTTCAGAGAGTGCTCTGGCCAGGCTCAGTAGGAAGACATTTCTTTACTGGCTCAGGCTCTGACCAAGTCTCCATCCCTTGAGAAGAAATCGAGGAGCACCTGGACTCCCAGCACCTGTGTGGAGCCAAGTGGATATGCCTGCATGTCCTCAGAGGCCTTGGGCTAGGAGTTAGACAAACACAAATGCCGGCCTTCTCCGTGCTGAAGACAGCAGTCAGTCTGAGGACTTGGGATTCCTAAATACCAGTGTACATAGATCTGTCTGCTCACACCTCCACAGTTGTCTTAACCACGCACAGGTCCCTGACAGCAGTGTCTGTCCTGTATGGATTCTGCCTGGTGACTGGAGCTTTCTCAATCTACCATTGATTTCCACCTAATCATTCTTTAACTGACTAGTACTGAATTTTCATACATGACCGTCCGCCTAATTCATGAGTAATTCCTAACATAGTGACACACACTGAAGAAGCCTTTGGAAATGAATCTTTTTTTCTATCAGGCAGTCTGTATTGCTGAACAGGTCTGGAAGATAGAACTGATGTCTGCAGCCTGAATATACCTGAAGCTTTGTGTGGCTTTCAACATAAAATATAAGTCCTATTACAGGACAGTGGCCAAGATGGGGCTTCACAAGGGAATCTCAGCATGCTGCAGGCTCAGGCTCCATGAGCAAAACCACTCATGGCTGTGCTCTTGCCCCTGGGGAGTGGTCCCACAGAGCTCAGCATGGTGTCCCTGCCTGTCAGCAGCTCATTGGCACCCCTCCGCGTGGAGCTCAGAGTCCAGTGGCCAGCAGCCTTTCTCTCTTGGAGATGGCTCCTTGGGCAGGCCAGGGCTGGGCATCCTGTGGTCTCACCACCACCGAGAAGCACATCCTAGAAGCACTGGACTGAGTTCAGTTTGGGCTACATAGCAAGACCCTGTTCAAAAAAACTCCTTCTTGACTCCAGACAGGATTTGGAAGATGTACAGAGAAGCAGCAACTAGAATGGAATTCTCACTTTCTTGAAACATCTTTCTTGACCGTTAAGGAAGGATATGAGGTTAGGCAGGAACAAGATGATTCTTACACATGAACCTGTGCAGAGAAACAGTGGAAGGAGCCTAGTGGATGCGCGGTCACATCTGTGAATCCTGGCAGTCTGCTTCTAGCTGTCAGTATATACTTCTGAGGACAAGATTGCAGTTGCCAAATGTGTCCCCACAGTGGAGGGTGTCTCCTCTGACCAGCATTCTGGAGCCTGTCCTGTGTTCACCTGTTGTCCTCATCCTTCACTGTATGACTCTTGACTGTTGCTGACTGAGATTTCCCTGATGACCCTCTACTCTGGACTCCGCCCTCACAGGTCACACCACCCTCCCACACAGGGCCTTAGCATACGTGTGTGCCAGAAGGTCTAGCCTGAGTGCCCATCTTGGTTTTTGGAGTTGTCCCTACATCTGTTTGTTCGCTGACCTTACTTAGTACAGCTGGGTCACGTTTAGAAATGGCAGCTCCACCGGCCAGTGACGACAGCACATACCTTTACTCCCAGCAGAGGCAGAGAGAGGCCATAGAGGCAGGTAGATCTCTTCAATTCCAGACCAGCATGGTATACAAAGTGAGTTCCAGGGCAGCGATGGCTGTCACAGGGAAAGCTTGTCTTAAACTACCACCACCCTCCAAAAGAAAAAGAAATGGCAGATCCGGAACTGAGAACTGTACTCAAGCTGAGCATTTGAGAACTGACTGCCTTTCACTGCTCTGCGTCTCAGCACTTGCCCAGAGTTGGTTTTCAGGAGCTGAAATGTCTGTTAAATGAAGCTAGAGTTTTAACGGGGGAGTCTGGCGTTCCTCTCTCCACTCCGAACCAGCTTCCCACACAGGATTTGGGAAGTTAGCACCTAAAGTCTAGGCTCCTTTCGGGACTATTAACATCTTAAGTGTGAAGGGCACTTTACAGTTCTGGAAAGCCATCCTCATCATGGTCTTGGGTTGTGCCTTCTGGGACCATGGTAGGGGAGCAAGCTCTGTACTCTCGTCTGTCTTCCATTGGTCCTAGAGCCTCCAGCTGGGTCATGTGTAAACATCTCCCATGTGTCAGAACCCCAAGTGATACTTCTGAACCCTAAGCAATCTGATCAGCAAAGAAATCAAGTGGGAATTCAGACTACCCTAACCTAACCTACACACTAAGGATTTTGCTGTGGGCACCAGGTGTGCTCAGATTTTAGACGGGCTTCACTCTCCCCTCAGTGAGTGCCAGCTCACATTTGGGGGCTTAAGCCTTGGCTCCAGGCTCAGGCCTTGCGGGACCTACCCAAGGAGGCCTGTGCACCCTCACCGTGTGACACAGCCCAGCTCTGTGAAGGCTGGTAAGCAAGGGCTTCTTCGACTCCAGGCTGACCAGGGCCCTGGGGGGCTAGCATGGTGGTTTCTCTCAACCCACTGTAAGGAGGCGACCGAATAAAGTGCCACTGATGACTTGTCTGCTGCGTAATGGTTTGTCCGGGTTGGTAGTCTTGACACACAACCAGGCAGCAGGGCCTGAGATGGTCCAAGACTAGTCCCCTCACAGTCCCACGTTGTGCCTGTCATGAGCCGCAATATAGGACCTTGGCAAAGGAGTGCCGGGGAGACAGGGCCTGTACCCACACCAAATCAACTCAGTCCAGGGCCAGGATCCATCTACAGGGACGTGGAGAGGGCCGTGGGCCTGGTGGAGGCAGCTTCCCAAGCCCCACCCTGGTGCTTGCTTTGGGGTGGCTTAGCTGGGAGGAGGGTCTGGGTGTTGGGATAAAGGTATGGAATTCATTCCCTGATCTGAGACTGCTGCCCGGAGCCCAGGACACCATCATGTTGAGATACAAGTCTCAGGGCAAGGGTAGGAACTGTTGGTGAGTAAGGATAGCCATTCAAGCGTACAGCATGCCCACTGAGCACAAAGCTAATATTCAGATGAGGTGGACTCAGTAAGTGCCAAGTCCAGTCCCCAAGTGACTCTTCAAAGAGCTCTAGTGCCAGGGAGTTGGGGTGTGACTGGCTGACCACCGGGAAAACAGGACACTTGACATACACAAGTCAGTTTCTAGCCATCTTGGGAAGGTAGTTTTGAATTTTGTTTTGCCTGAAAGTATGTGTGTGCACCATGTGGTACCCATGAGACCAGAAGAGGTCATCATGTCCCCTCAAACTGGAGTTAGAGTTGTGACCATCATGAGGTATTGGGTAAAAAAACCCAGGCCCTCTGCCGAAGCAGCAATGAGTAAGTAAACGACTGAGCCATCTCTCCAGCCCAGAGAGCGCTCTTGCTGCTGGTCCTCAGAACCCCAACCCAGGATGCTGGCCAGCCACAGGCTAATGATAATAAGCAAGAGCGTCCTGGGAGCCAGCCTGTCCGTGACGCTAGCCAGAGCAAGCCAGATAACAGTCCACCATCACCACCACCCACATCTGAAAGGGTAGAGATTCCTCTGAAGGAGACTAGACACAGCAGAAGGAACCAGACTTTAAGATTTGAGGACAAATCCAGTGTTAGGTGGCATGAAGCCACTGTGTTCTCACAGTGCCACCAAGGAAACCCTGGTGGTGCAACTCAAGGCCCAAACCTTTGGCTCTTCCAAGGTGGCGATGGGAATATCATGGGTAAGAGTGGGCTGACCTCTTCTTAGGACCACTCTGTCCCCAGAAAGCAACTGATCTACCAGAGAAAGGGCCTCCAAGCAGGTTGCCATATAAAACTTGGCTCAGCATGGCACTAGGGGGCGCTACAGGCTGGTACAAAGGCTCAGTGTGAAGCCTGTTTCACGGGTAAGGCTGTATTCTTACACACTTGCATGGGCGCACACAGGATGCCTGGTCACTATCAGGTGTCCACATGGCTCTGAGTCCCTGGCATGAAACAGTCTAATGTCCCTTAGTTAGCTATGGATAAACAACAGAGGCAGGTCTACAACTTCCTCTAAAACCCAGCACCTCCCTGAAGATTCTAGTTCCTATTTCAGTCTAGAATCTGAACTCCAGTCACCTTGGCTATAAAAAAAAAAAAAGAGCCCCTCACCTAGAAGGTGGGCCTGATCCTACCAAGAGGTGGAACCAGGGTACGTTCATTCAGCCCCCAGGTCTTCTCCTAAGGTTAGAAAGTATGACAGACAGAATGGATAGGAAGGAACACTTGAGTTCTCTCTACATTGTCCTGGAACTACGTAGAGCAGGCTTACCTTTAACTTTGAAACCACCTGTACCATGTCTGTAGTGTAGACTGCTTAAGCCAGGGGAGGTTTGGCTACCTGCCTTCTCCCCAGAAGTTACCCACACACAAGCACCTTCTGTCCTCATGAGATCCCTCGTGTCAAGACAGACATGGAACTAGAGACCCACAGCACTTTCTCTACAAACCATGGTCCCCTCCTGTGGACACAACTTTCTTGCATCCTGTCCTTGGCACCTCTAAAGTTCTGCCTGCCACTTTGGGCCACAGGAAGACACCCCATACTCAGCTGCCCTTACCCTAGGGCAAGCCAAGATTATTAGTCCCCTTGGAGCCTAAGACCAGCACCTTGCTCTAGGGACCAGAGGCTTCTGATTCCTCATGTGTTTATTAAGCCACTTCCTCTAGGGACAAACCTAAGAACCTGTCCCCACAGGCAGGTACAACTGCCCAAATCCCAGAACAGAAAGTGAGGCACTCATGAAAATCAGAAGGAGTTATCTTTATTTTTTGGAAAGTTGGCTGCATTAACAAAACCCCATCTGCCAGTGTGGGCTGACAAACCATGTGCTGGGCCCCAAGAAAAGTCACCCTGAGCCACTGTCCTGGCCCTGATGGCTAATAGGCTGATGGTTGATAGCCACCAAAGCCTACAGCCCAGTAACAGTACAAAAAGTAACAATATTGCATTCAGCACTCTTTCTCCCAAGCTTTGAAAAGTAGCAGTCTAGGCTCTAAAAGTCTAGAAGTTCTGCATAGGAAGTGTTAAGCCTAAAGCAAAACAACTTGTGAAGACTCAATAAATTATAGATAGATAAACCTGTAACACCTGTTAACATCTGAACCTCCACGCAGGGCCGCCACTGCCTGGGCGCAGGCTCCTGCCTGGAATACATAGCAATTAGAATAATCTGTATGAAAAACACCAGCTCACCTCGCAATTAAAAACAAAAATCTCCTCAAGACAAGTTCCTCTATAAACCTAGCCCCCACAAAAGAGGGCCAAAAGCAATGAAAACTGCTCGACAGGGCCACCTCTAACTATGAGGGCCACTCGAGCCTCGAAGGGCCACCTCCAGCCTTGCTGTGGGCCACATGCACATTCTCAGCAACCCTAAATTCAGCATAAACATCCTCAGCTGTTAATAAGTTACAACTTAAATCTCTGCAATACCCGGGGCTAAAGGCTGTGAACCTGGGGTGGGGGCAGGGCTGAGGGATGATAAATAGCTTTACAAATATACAGGTCCAGGTACAAACAAAACTGCAGTGCCAGAAAAGCCCCTAATGCTTCTCGGCTTGCTCTTGCCATTTTGCCGGTGAGCCCCATGGGGTACCTTGCTCCCCTGGGCCTCAGCTTTGCCTTCCTCCATATAGATATTCTTATATATACGTATGTAAATATATCATACACAACATCTATTTATAGAAATGTACATTTGCCTCTGGAATAAACCTTTCTGATAGAAGTTATGGCTCCCACCTTCAGGTACCCGTAATTTCAGTCTGAGGGGCAGGGTGGGAAGCAGAAGGCCTGGAGGTGGAGATCTGTGACCCGCCCCCAGGCACAAGGTGCCAGGTAGGAGAGAGGCCCGCCACATAGGGCAGAGCTTCCCTGCAGGCTCAGTTTGGGGCACCAGCAAGGCCCAGGCCCTCCCTGGCCATGGAGTCTAACCCTCTCTGCGATGGTTCCTGCAAGGTGGCAGTGGGGAGTGAGGGAGCCAGGACTCCAAGGTTTCACAGGGTAGGCCCTCTTACATTCTACGCTTGGTGCTCCTGGCCCTGACCAGTCCTGTCATCACTGTTTAGCGGTGCATGTTGTTCCCAAAGGGCCTCTGCCCTCAGGAGCCAAGGATACACACACACAAGTCCTGTCTATTTTGGGCCCATTGCGCTGGGCTGGCTGGGGTCCACTGTACACCAGCAGTAGCAGGGCGGGCTAGGGTCCGCGTAAACATTGCCTGGGGCTTGGTCTGTGGGTCTGTTGGTCCTTCACGTCCGAGGTCCCCCATTACTGGGTGGGCCTGAGGGTAGCAGATCATGGGTGAACACAGAATCATCCCCCGAGGAGCTGGAGCTAGGAGTATCCTGGCCGCCTGGCGAGTACTGCTCAAAAGGCACTGACAGGTCCAGGTACTCCTGTTGGTGAACAGAGCTGTCAGGACTGCTGTGCCTTAGCATGTATACCCTCTTCAATCCCACGGCCAACTGTATTCAGGCCATGCCCCTGAAGGCCAGTCCCACTACTGGAGCTCCAAGAGCACCACCCCAGGGAAGCAAAGCAGCCAGAGGGGCCAGGACTGAGTGGCACTTACGTCAGTCGACGTCACAGTGAGGATGCGGTCTAAGTCTTCTACCAACTGCTTGAAGGTGGGCCTCTGTGAAGGCACTGCATGCCAACATTCCCGCATGATCATGTACCTGTGGCAAGCATAGCTGTGGGTCCCTGGCCTGCTGCCCATCCCGACCTCACCCCGGGCCACCAGTCCCCTGCTCATCCCAAGGGCCCGGGTAGGAATCCTGCCACCCCCAGAAACTGCGTAGAGGAATGAGCACGAGACGCTTTGCTCACAGGTCGTGTGTGCAGTTGGCAGGCTTGTCCATGCGGTGGCCCTCTTTCAATAGCTTGAAAAGCTCTTCCACTGGGATGCCAGGGTACGGTGAGCCCCCCAGCGTGAAGATCTCCCAGAGAAGCACCCCAAAAGACCAGCTGCAAGGGAGTGAGGACAAAAGGCCTGTTACTCTTGGCCCATCGCTACAGCAGCCCAACCAACGGGCAAGGCACCAGAGTAAGGGAGAGGCCAGGACAGGGGTGTTGGCCCCATGAGAAGACCAAGACCCTGAAAACTCTGAGAGGGGCAATTTGCATCCTGTTTGTCCACAGAGCTCCACTGAGTATGGGGACACATACACATCACTCTGGTGGGTGTAGACTCGGTCAAACAGGGCCTCCGGTGCCATCCACTTCACAGGTAGCCGACCCTGGGCAGAGGAAGAGACATTGGCACTCAGGTGTCCCCTGATGGAGGCCCACACCCCAACCACACAGGACCAGGGCTCACATTCGTGGTCTTCTTGTAGTAGTCCAGGTTGTGCACATCGCGGGCCAGGCCGAAGTCTGCAATCTTCATCACATTGTCCTCTGTCACCAGCACATTTCGGGCAGCCAAGTCTCTGTGAATACACTGAGGAGACATGATTTAAAAAAAAAAAAAATTTAAAAAAAGAGAGCTAGCCCCTCCCCAGCCCAGGCAAGCTCTTCATCCACTCTTTCACCCAGAGAGGCCCCACCTGGCCTGGGCCTTGTTTCTCCTCACCTTCTGAGAAGCCAGGTACTCCATGCCTCGTGCCACCTGGTAGGCACAGGACACTAGGTCCTTGCAGGTTAGCTGCTCTTCTGGCAGCCTGCAGGCATCAAAGGAGTAGTCCATGCCTGGGGGCCGCCGTGCCCGCAGGAATTCTCGTAGGTTGCCCTTAGCTGCATACTCCACCAGCACATACAGGGGCCCTGGGAACACAGGTGCCTCAGACATGCTGTGCGCCTCGGGGGTCCTTCCGTGCCAGGCCGCCCACCCTCAGCACCTACCGCCCTGCGTGCAGGCCCCCAGCAGGTTGATGATGTTCTTGTGCTTGCCAATCATCTTCATCATCTCCATCTCAGACACCAGGTCCGACAGGTCCTTGTCAGTGGCATCATCTGTGCCGGGAACGGGGGAGGGAGGCGTCAACTGATGGCCCCACGGCCCTCAAATGCCCCTTCTACTTCTCTTCCTCCTTACCTTTCAGCATCTTCACAGCCACGGTGACAGGCTTGGCAGTGCGGTCCTTGTCAATGCCAATAGCTTCTGCCATGACAACCTGGCCAAAGCAGCCTTCTCCAAGAGGCTTACCAAGAGTCAGCCTGGCCACAGAAGCACAGCCAATGAGTGTGTGCCCAGAACCGCCAAACCTCGTGGTCATGTACCGACACATCCCACAAGCTCTAAGGGGCATTTGCTCACAAAGACAAAGAGTAACCCCCCCACACACATCTTTCCCGGCACTCCGCCTCAGGTGTACCTCCAACAGGCCCCTGCCTATTCCCTACCAGGCATACACTAAACCTCACAGTATATACTGTCCCTCACCACCACTGACCGGGTCCTGGAGAGCTCCCACTTGGGGTCGGCAGGCAGCTCAAGTTCAGAAACGTTGGCCAGAACAGGACCTTCTCCTGAGGACAGCCGGGCGATCCGCACGAGGGGTGTGTTGGAGTTCATAGAGGAGTTGGACTCCAAGGACACCTGCTTGGGTCATCAGAGACAGGTTGGTACCACACAACGTAGGCTGGGCATTGGAAAAGGGGTGAGGTGATGTGGCCCCCCAAAAAATGGCAGGTCAAGTCGATGTGAGACAAGGCGTGGGGCCAAAAAAGGGCTGGCTAGCTGCTCTCACTTCTGTACAGCAGTGACTACTAAAAATCACTGTGCGCCTCAGACTAACTCGGGCTCCTTTTGGAGATCAGAGGTAGGGAGGGATCAGCCCACCCAAACTGCGAAGAAATACATTCTGGGCAGGCCCTGGGCCCTGCTGGGTCTCTAGGAGAGCCAAAGCAGGACAGGGAGCTCAAAACCTGGTATCTACTTTCTGTTACCTGTCGCTTGAGCGGGAAGCGAGAGACCTTGTGCACGGTGGGCGAGCCCAGGCCCTTCTTTGGGGGACTACGCAGGCAGCAGAGCGCCACCGCTGCCGCCACCAGGATGAAGAGGAAGAAGCCCACCACGTAGCTGAGGATGCCTGCATACACGCTGCCAGCCTCGCCAACCTCCATCAGCTCCTCCTCAGCTGCAAAGACACAAATTTGGGGGCCTCATCCAGCCTTTTTGAACTTCCCACCAGGTGGAACCACGGGTATCAGTAGGAGAGGAAAGGGAACTGGATACTTGGAAGATGGGGGGGCCTATAGCCCCCACTCAGCTTGGTAGTATAGTCAAAAAAACATGTCAGCAAGGGCCACACCCAGGAGAGAAGCCCAGCAGAACCAGAAGCATCCACACCGCCACCCAGGCGCCCAGGAGATGCCAGAGCCTCAGAGCAGGACTGTGGGGGCCCAGCTGGAGAATGAAGGACCAAGATGGGGTAGGGTTAATGTTCCCATACCAAGCACAAGGCCTGGCTAAGTTTCACAGAGCAGGGAACAGTTAAGTCCTGAGGGAACCCTTTGCAGTCCCTGGCAGCCTTGGCATGTCCTGAGCCAGCACCCCAAGAGGACAGGTGCACCGTGAGCAGCAGCAGAAGCCAGTACCTGGCAGCACCACCAGCCACGCAGAGTGATGGGAAAACCCGATAGAATTGCCCGCCAGGCAGGTGTACTCCCCCGCATCCTCAAAGGTGACATTGTGCAAGGACAGAACCTCTAGTTCCTTGTCGGTGGTGTTAGCGCCTGCCGTCTACAAAGAAAGAAGAGAGTGCGATAGGCCAGCGCCAGCACCTCCCTTCGGGCACCACAGCAGTCCACGGGGAGATGATCCAGCCAGGCTGCAAGGAAAACGCCGCCGCCGCCGCCACAACCTCAGCCACCACCATGGCCCCACCACAGACACGGGGGCCCAGGGCCTTCTGCCTCCTGCACCGAGGCACCGAGCCCGAAGCCAGTCCCTCCACCGGCGGCGAGTCCTCTGTCCCAGTGTGAGCAGCAGGCAGGTGGGCAGCATGGTGCCACACGACGGCAGCATGCAGTTAGTGCAGAAACGGCAGTGGTGCAGATGGAAAGACAGGCAGGCAGAGGTGCGGATGGGAAGCCAGAGGCATCAGTCAGCCAGAGACAGGTATGAGTTGATGCTCGTAAGCAGCACAGGACTCCAGCCCTGGCAAGCTCTAAGGGTCTTCTAAGAAGTACACAAGTGGGGGATGAAAAAGGACAGCACAGGCCCGGGGGGCTTTGAAGCGGGTGGTCAGCTGGGGGCTATCAGTATTGCTGGGGCATCACAAGTTCAGTGCGAGCCACAGGCAGGATCAAGCAGGATGGGGTCGTGCAGGGCATGCAGGCAGGTGCATGGCTGGGGCGTTGGAGCTGGAGCTCAGCGTGCCAGGCAGGTGTGGGACAGAGTCGTTACCTGCTTGGGGCCCGTGAACACGCAGCCAAAAGGCCTTCTCAGCCACGCCTATGAAATTGGTGGCTCGACAGAGGTACTCGCCCCCGTCCCGCTCCGACACATTGGCCAGGCGGAGGCGTGCGTCTGCCTCCACATTCTCACTGATCCAGGACTGCGGGGACAAGAGACTGGGCTCAGGCACACCCCGAGCCAGCTCAGAAGGGTATGTGGATGAGGCAGGGCAAGGGAGATCCCCAAGGATGGGCTGGGGGCTGGGCAGCAACACCTGGAAGGCTGCCTGGAGGGGAGGCACTTCATGGCAGTGGCAGACGTGGTTTCAGAAAAAGAGATCTTCTCCATGTCCACCACCACACACACACTCACTCACACACAGAGAGAGAGTGAGAACGAGAACCCACAGCCTTTAAACCCCTAGCCGGGGAGTCATACTAGGGCAACTAGCTTATTCCCATGAATGGCCACACCCACGGTCAGAGGCACACTGGACAGGACCCCAGTGATCTCTCTCAACAGCCAAGATTCCTGTTCCAGCCAGTTCCTGGTCCCCTCTACCACCAGACCTCCTTGTCTCTGAAGAGCTGTTTCTCTCTGGCCTTCCAGTGTCGAAAAATCCCAACTCCCGTGGCCCCCACCCAAGGCCACGGAACAAAGCTACAGGCACAGGAAGGCAGCACAGGGCCAGTGCAGCACTGCAAGCAGAGAACATCAGCCAATCCAGGCCAGCTGGGGACTATCTAGCCAGTCCCCTGGGGCCCAGAGATTACTAACTCGGCAGTCATTCTCCTGCCCTGGGCCACCATAACTGTCACCCAAGAGAAGATTGGCCCTGGTTGCAGACAGGTGCCCATGGCAGGGCACAAGTCACACAGAGCCTGCTTGGAGCACTGGGACTCTGCTGTCCCTTCTCCGAAACTGCAACACCTGGGCCTAAAATCCAACATCTCCCTCAGCCAAGAGGGACTTACGAACGAGAGCCAAGGCAGCCCCCGATGACCCACCTGCCCACCCGCCAGAAGGCAGCGGAGCCCACCTTGAGGACAGTGACGTAGGGCGTGCCGTCAGGGCCCACCTTGCTGCCATTCACCTCCACGTGCTTCAGCCACTGGATGTGCGGCTGCGCATCGCTATACACCTTGCAGTGGAACTCCACGTCGCTGCCCAGAACGGCTGTCTGGTTGGCCGGCAGCCCAGCCTGCAGGATGGGCCGGTGTGGGGAGCGCTCTGCAAGAGGGAGCCAGGTCAGGAGCAGTGGGCCGAGGGACCCAGGGACACCCTGCCTTAGCCACCCGGCCTGGCCCTCACCCAGCACGTCCAGGGTGTATGTCTGCCGGATGCTGCCAAACTTGTTCTCTACCACGCACGTATAGTTGCCACGATCAGAGGGCACCACACTCTCCATGACCAGGCTCCACTGCTGATGCCGAAGCTGCGGGTAAAGTTTAGTCTGTGAGTGAATGCAGGCTACACCCCGTGTCAAGGCCATATCCCCTCCAGGCCCCTTTCCCAGACCCACCTTGATGCCCCCTATGCGATGTTCCCCTCGGAATTCTTTGCCATTCTTCAGCCAGGAGATGGAGGGGGTAGGATTGCCAGCAGCTGGGCAGCGGAAGCGTACAGTGTTCGCAGCTGGCACAGCCAGCAGTTTTTTATCCATTCGCTCCGGTCGGGTCCAGTAAGGGGCCCCTGGTGGCAGAATTGCCCATGACAGCTGTAATCAATGCACTCTTCCAAAACTCCCCTGCCTGCCCACCCTCTAGCCTGTTTCCCCTTCTGTATTGAGAGTCACTTGCTCTGCCTCAACAGGCTCCTTGAAGCCTTGGACACTAAGTGTTTACAGCTGCCCTACGCTCAGATTCGAACATATCTTCTCCTTGACCTTTGGTGCAGGCCCACAGGTGCAGGTCCCCAGAAGGGAGAACCCAAAGGATGCAGATCCTGGGAGGCAGCTAGGCCAGGTCATCCCACCAAGCTAGCCTCTGCAGTGCCCAGGGCCTGGCAGGCTCCCTTAGGTCATGCTTCCCCCCTCCACTGAGCTCCCTCCTTCCTCTGGGCTAGGTGGAGGATGCCAGCCTGCTGGGACTCATGAAGCAGCTGAGGGACACAGAAGGGATTCAGGATAAAATAGAGAGGCAGTCACAGGCAGGAAGCAGAGGCAGGTGGATCTCTGAGTTTGAGTTCAGCCTGGTCCCTGTCCAGAGTGAGTTCCAGGACAGCCAGAGCTACAAAAAGAAACCAGGCCTCGAAAATAAATAAACAAACAAACAAACAAACAGGGAGGCAGCAACCTCACTGTTCTCATCATAGGACCGTGTGTACCTGTGGGAGGAGGAGCCAGCGCTCAGGGTAGGAGAGAACAGTGTGCAGACGCCAGGGGCCCCTCCAAGCTGAGCTGCCCTCCCAGGCTCCCAGTAGCCTTGGCAGAGACTGCCACACTAGGAGACAATGGTAACTTAATATTGCCCACTGCCAGGCAAGGTCCAGAAGGCGACCCTTTAGTCACCTCATAGCCTAAGGCCATGTGGGGCAAAGCCCATATAGGGCACAAACACCAAACAGAGCCTGGAAAGGTCAGGAAGACAGAAGCAAGCAAACTCAGAGCAGGGGCCCTGGCAATGTGGCTAGGGCAGGAGCCATAGGGCGAGTGGGTTAGGAATTTTGCTCTTAACAACTTGGTAGCCAAAGGGAAAAGGGAAACAAGAAGTCAAGACACTCATCAGGACAGTAGCCTTTGTTGGCTTCAGTCCCAAATTCCAAACCTGCTTCCATGTAGATTCCACACTCTCAATCTCACAGAAGTCCCTACGCCCACACTTCTTGACCCCACACACCCAAAAGACTCATTCCTGTTTTCCCATAAATTTTGTCTGAGTCCTCTCAACACCTTGTCTACTCTGTCCCAGAATTCTGCAGATGGTCCAAGTACTCAGTCCACACAGCCTAGTCTCAAATTATAGCCACCATGATGGCCCTCACCTGCATACACACACACACACACACACACACACACACACACACACACGACCCATCTGAGACACCCCTCAGCAAGGCCCAGCCAGTCTCCCCTTCTCCTGGCCTCCTGAACCAACAGCCACTGGTGCCCCTAATCCCTGGGTCTACTTGCTCCCCAGCAGCAACCTGAGTTCCATGCCTGGCTATACTCACACCCGTGACGCTCCTTCCCACCAGAGTCCCTACCAAATTCCCTGCAGACCAGCCCCACCCCCTCACCGCTCCTGGAGCACTGTACTCCGGTCTATCCACCTGTGGTAGTGTCTCCATCAAGTCTACAGAAAGGAGGCAGCCCGGCCCTCAGCAGCCCAGTGTGCCCAGGCTCTCCTCTCACCTGTGTCCTCAGCCACGTCCTCCCCATCTTCATCATCTCCTGAGGACGGAGCATCTGCAACAGTTCCAAGTGGGCAGTGGTTCTGTGATACCCCATATCCAGAGACTTGCTTCTTTCCCTATTTGGGGTCCCCACTGCTCTCCACCTTCAGGGCTCACTATTCCCTGCCTTTGGGGTTCTGGCTTCACAAGGCCATTCATTCAGAGAGCATGTACTCGGGGATGCCTCCTCCTATCTCCAGCTAGCAACACTTGGGCCAGGGACGCTGCAGCCACGCTGGCCCCTGGGATTGCCCTGACCTTCCTCACCACGAAGCCGCCCACCACACTTGGCAAGCCGACCCACCAGGTACTTACCTGTCACACGCACACTGAAGTGGCACAGCACACGCTGAGTGAGCCGCTGCTGGTAGCTATAGAGCCCTGCATCCTCGTGGGAGGCGTTCAGCACCTGCAGCCTCTGCGGCCCCACCACGATGCGGCGGGAGGCCACCAGCACGGCGCCATCCTTAGCCCAGACAGTGGGGCCTGTGGGGGTACCTCCAGGTGGATAGCAGCTCAGCTCCACGGTGTCCCCACTGCCAAAGGCCACCTGCTCCTGCTGGCTAGGTTCAGGCCCTGGAACCTCTGTGGACAAAATGGAAAGAAAGCTATTTAACAGGTTCTCTAAAGGAGCATACTGGAGGCCCAGCAATTTACTTTACAAACAGACTAGCAAAGGCTGTGGTGGTCAAGTGAGGGGTGTGCTCCTAGGGTCTGGGGTCCTGCCAGACGATATTCAAACCAGGGGTGAGAAACTGTTTTAGTTAAGAGCCCAGGTGCGTATCTCAGCTCTGTCAATGGTCGGTGTAAGGCTTCTGCTCTGCCCTGTAGCAGGAAGCTGTAAGATGTTAGGGAAGAGACACAGCAGCCCTCCCACTAACTGGAAGATCTTAACAGGCCAAGAAGGTTGGGGGATAGCTCTGTGGTATAGCACCTGCCCAGAATGCCTGAAATTCATTCCCAGCACCAGGAAAAAAGACACCAATTCTTCTTCCTCTGATCCTGCTACCATTTGGAAATGTAAAATCAATCCTTAGCTCACAGAGAGGCACAAAAGCAGGTTGGGGACAGGCTGTCCTTCGCTGGCCTTTGGCTCAAAGCGCAGAGAAGGAATAGGGAGCCCTTTCAGGGCCCTCTTAGCACCCCACCCTCATCTTGGCTTCTGAAGCAGTTTGAGTGGAGAGCCAAGGAACAGAACACACTTTAACAAGAAAGAGAAAGCTGGGTATGATGGCTCATACACTCAAAAGACTGAGGCAGGAGGATTGCCTCATGCTCAAAGCCAGCCTGGCTTCAGTGAGAGACTGTCTCAAAAAACAAAATCAAGGTAAATGAAAAGAGCGAAAACCACAGAAGGTCATGCAAAAACATAGGTGGGCATCCCTGCTTGCGTAAACCACAAGGGCTCCTTTTCCCAGGGGCTGTGCACCTCCACTAGCAGCCTAAATATACCAGGATCCTCAGTCTAGGGACAATCCGTGCCTTGCAGCTTATATGCCCATTCCAAATAGCAGCCAGTTAGCTAAATAGGGCGGACATACATCAAGGACACCAGTCTGGTCACTTGTGTCTCGTCAGTGGTCTAAGAGACTCCCATGAGTTAACAGGGTGGCTGAGGACATGGAACTCCACCCCTTCACTAATGAGAACCAGGTTTGGGGGGTGCTGTCAAGAGTGGTGGCCGTTGTGAGCCAAGGGGAGCAAGCCACCCACTCTGAGGACTAAGAGACTGGAGTAGCATAGCTTCTCCACTGGACAGCACAGGTAATACACCTCTCCTCTGCCCAGGTGCTGCCCAGCTCAGGAGGGGGCCCAAAGACCTCACCCTCAGGGACACCCCACCAGTTGGGCTGTCTCCTCCAGGCCTCCCTGCCAGGGCCTGACAATGCCCATCACAGAGCAGCTGGGCTTGGGGCCCAGGACAGGGGTGGGTGGTCCTGCTGAGCAGACCTCCTTCCTCAGATCCAGCTGGACTGGCTATAATGTCACTTGTCATTCCACCGTCGCACGGCCTAGATTCGAGGCCCAGCTGTCCACTCTGGCCACACCAGTCCTTAGTCAGGCCGAATTCCGTCCATCCCAGAGTCGGCCCACAGGCTCAAAGCCCATCACAATTCCGACAGCCAGAGGGACCCATTATGTCCCCAGAGCATCCACAAAACTCATGTCCTTCGGAGCCCCACAACTTTCAGCGGTCCTGAGTACAGGGTCCTACAGTCAGGAGCCTTCTATCCCGACTTCCAGCTCTCCAGTCATGCCACCATGTCCTATGGGGACCACCCATTGCTGGAAGCTGTTTGAACTCTCCCCCCACAGAAGAGCAAGAACAGGCTGGTCAAAAGCCTTAGCCCAGGCCTTGGCCAAAGGCCAACAGCCAGTTGGTTCCGGTTTGGTCTGGCCAAGACAACAGGTCAAGCCATTCACGTAAGTATTTGCTTTAACCTAATCCAAAAATGAACTGGAAAAGGACATAGCAGACCTCAAGCCAGAACCTTGGAGAGGCAGATGGCTGTAGGTATGGGGTGGTGAGGGGAAATGGCTCAGTCAGCTCAGAGCTAACCTTTGCCCTGTCCACCCATCTTGTCCACCAGAAGCTCGAAGAAGCCAGACACTTGGACTTTGGGGTCTCAGGCAACAACATGCCCACCAATAGCAACAGCCCCAGGTTCACAGGGCTTAGAGGAACTTGTGTCATGAGTCAGGCAGGTACAAGGGAAGGGCAGTGTAGGATGGTACTTCAAACAACCCAGAATATGGTCACGGAATATGGGACACCATATTCTGAGGCAGCAGTAGCCTATTCAGCACTGACCAACCGAGCTCCCACGTCACCAGCCGCCAGCTAACACACCAGTGCACGCCAACTCCCTAGGCCCCAGCAAACAAAAGAGTCAAAAGCAACACACAGGCATGGATATTGTGCCCATTAATGGGGCAATGTCCCCACCGCATGAACCCCACTGCACCTGTCCCCACTGCCACATGATACTGACATGGACCAGGGTACCACTCTCTCACTGGTGCAGACTATGAGACACTGTGTCCCAAGTCAGACTGTGCCGAGCCTAGGGTCTCCCAGATTGCCTCAGTTTTCCCCACTATGGCACAATGTGCAAACCTCAACCTGCAGATCTAAGGTCCAGAAAGGTGTGGTTAAGTGTCTGAGGCCTGTAAAAAGAAGTGTGGGCATGAGGGAGGGGGACCTCCGCCTGGGCCTCTTGAATCAAACAATGTCATCAGACCATATCTGACCAGCTACTGGGGGGGCTGTATCCCCCCGCCTGAGGGACCTGATACCCAGTCCTGGTCACTACTGTTGAGACACAACTGCACACCAGACCTGTTTCTGAGCTTGATCACCCTAAGGGACTCCAGGGACTTTGACTTCGAAGCAAGACCAGAATGTGGATCTGAGCAACGTCTGCTCTGGTAGTGGACTCGGCCGGGAGTGTAGCCCAAAAAAAAGGAGGGTGCCCGAAAGGGCCCCACAACCAAGGGTCTCTTGTCTTCCTCTTCCCCACTCCCCACCATCCCAACAGGAGACATTCCACTTTCGGCAGTTTCACACCAAAGTCAATAAAGAAAGTAAGTTAGGAAGAAAGAGAAGAATCCAGAGGCTGGGCGGGCTAATGAGGGTTTACCGGGGATTATCTGGTTTAATCCCCGAAACAACTCTGCCATTACCAGTCCTCTTTGGCAGGACAGGTGAGGAAACTTAGGCTCCGGGAGGACACCCAAGTCTAGGCAGGCCGAAATCCCAGGTGACTTCGCTCATAGCTCAGTCATTACTCAACCTGGCAGGCCACCTCTCCCCGAAGACCTCATCTTCCCTCTAACCCACCCCCGGGGAACTCATTTCTCTTCTAGGTACCACTGCACAAAAAGAGGGACTCCAGGACCCAGCAGGTCCCAGTTTCGGGCCCAAGTGAACCCTGAGGCCTGGAGGCAAGGGGCTTCTAGACTCGGCATAGGATCTGAAGCTTCAGGGTCTAAGACAGGCCCAGGTTAATGAACCACCTGGAGGGCCTGCAGGGCTCAAAGTCCAACCTGGGGGGTGGAGGTGGGGAGGAACCACACAGGCAACGCCCAAAATGGTGGACGGCCAGGCTCCTGCCTCCCTTTTACTACAGGACGGAGTGGGAGTCAGCCTCTGGCTCCCCTGTGGGTTACCCCAGGGGTTACCCCACCCATGAGCGCACTACCAGAGCTGGGCCACCAAAGGTGGCCAGGTTAGGCTGGGGCCCGGCCCCGCCCTACAGCCCTTGACCCCAGACAGCTCCAGCTTGGTAATTTATGTTCCCGGGGAAAGCGCCAGCCCGGACCTCTGTAAACTTCACTAAGTCTTTGTATTTTTACTACCCGGCCCGTCTCGTTAAGGAACCGGATTAAGTTTATTGGCCTATCAATTCCCTGTCTCACCAGTTCCAACGCAGAAGCGAGGGGCGGGCGCACATCCCACCGAGCCCCGGCCGCCCACCCCAGCTTCGGGTTCCCGCAGCAGGGGCGCGCCTGGAGGCACGGAGAGGGCGTGCACCCCACCCCACCGCCCTCGCTCGAGCTCACTGACACCCGACTCAAGTAATATCTTCATCTGAATGCACATGCTAATGCGGTCCCATTCGGCGTCCGGGGAGCCGGGCTATCCTAACAGGCGCTAAAAGCGCGCGCTGACCTCCCGACCGCCTCTGTCACGCCGCTGAAAGACACGCACATTCAAGCTCCCGGCCCACTTTCATTCATAAAACATTGTTTCGGGAGGCTGCAGCCGCTGAAGGAGAAAAGGGCGCGGGGGCGCCGGGAGGGGCACGCCGCCATCTGCCTCCTCCCGCTGCGCCCGCCGCGCTCGCACCTCCCCGAGAGGCCGCGCCGCCATCAATGCGCGGTCTGTGGCCGCCGGGGTACAAAGAGGAGGCTGTTCGGGCCTCAGCTCGGGTGGGGCGACAGCTTACCGGGCGAGAGCCTCCCCGCGCGCGGCCTCCGGCCAGACCGCTGCCCTGCTTTGCCACGCTGCCACCGGGCACGGCCGGGGGCCGCGCGCCGTCCTACCTCCCGGCGGCCGCGGGACGCGCTGCGGCCCCGTCGGGCGACACTCGGCGTCCCAGCGGACTTCGGCGGCCAGCCAGGACCCCGGGGCGACCGCCGCTCGCCTCCCAGAGCGCGGCCTGCGGGGCGGTCCGCGCGCGTCGCTGGGAACCGACCCCTCGGGCCGCCTGCGGGGTGAGAGGGGAGCGGCGGCCCGGACGCTGTCACCTTGTCACGTGGAAGACCGAGAGCCGAGCTCTGCCCGGGACGCTCCGACCCAGCCCCGACGTCCAGCCCCCCTCGGCCGCGACAGCGCAAGAACTGAGCCGGGGTTTCACCCCCGCAGACCCGAGAGACGACTACGGGAATCGTGGGAAGTCCCCCCGGCGCCTCGCACTTGGGCGCTGGTTCTGCGACTCCGGACACCCCCCACACCGCCGCGGACGATGACAGCCGTCTGCGGGGCGGAGGACACCGCAGGGCGCCCTGACCCCGGTGCTGCTCCTCAACCTGACAGCCCCTCCTCGCCCAAAGCGATACCTTGGCTCGGCCCTTACCTGCTGCTCTCCGCACAACTCGCTGTCCCGGGCCGGGAGGCTCGGAGGTAGCTCCGGCCACGGCCGCCACGCAGAACGCTAACACGCAGGCCAGGACTACCATGGCTCCGGAGCGGGGGCCGCGGCGTCCTCAGGCGGCGCGCGCCGGCATGCTGCACCCCCCACGCCCGGCTCCGGCGCCGGCGGGAGGGCGCCGCTCCGGAGTCTACGGGAGGAGACCAGCGAGTTACCCGAGTTACCCGGGAGGGCAACGGGGACCCCGGCCGCCCCGCCCGCCGCCTCCTAGCTCTCCCGGGCTGCCTGGCGCCGGGCGCCTCCTCCCAGCCGCGGTCCCTCCCTCCTCCTCTCCTCCCGGGCTGCCGCAGAGCCCTCCCAGGACGGCGGCAACGGCCACAAACTTTCCAGAGCGGGAAGCCCGCGCCTAGCCGGGCGTCGCGGCACTCTCGGGCCGCTCCGGTTCCAGCCCGCCGCGCGCCGTGCCTGCCTTAGCGCCCGCCCGGCCCCTCCGAGGACCAGCCGGCTCCTTCCCACCCACCTGGCGGCCGCTAGAGCCCAGCTCAGCACGCTCAGGTCCGGCTTCGGCTCCCGGCTCGCCCTCCCAGGGTCAGCTCTGTCCCAGCGGCCGGCCGCCCACCGGTGAGTCCCTGCGCCGGAGCGGACCGCACGGCGCCAGCCGCTCCCGCCACCCTCGCTGCCACAGTGCACTGAACTGGGGCTGCCCGGCGCGCAGCAGCCGGTGGGGGTGGGGGGGGGGGGACGGCCTGCTCCCGCCACGCCCCGGACACTCCCCTTCCCCGGCGGCCAAGGGGCGGGGGACCCGAGGGGGCGTGGTCAGGCGGGGGCGCCGGGCGGTCCCGGAGGGCGTGGGAGCCCAGCTGGGGCGGGGCGGGCGAGGCCGGGGTCGCACACTCGACCCCTCCAAGCAACGCAAAGCGGAGCTCAGGACTGTCTTTGCTAGCACGCTCCTACGTGCGATAAGGCTGTGCCCAGCGGCTTAGGGGGTGACCTCAGTGGGGGTCCAGGTGTTAGGGTGGCTTCACAGCGAACCAGACCCTGAGCAAAGAGCGGTAGTTCCTCAGGAGCAGAGCCTGACAGCATTCCAGGAGAACAAACGCCTGGGAAGCAAGCGGCCTTGCGATAAAGGATGGAGCAAAGTTTACACGGTGGAAGCTTGTGTAAATACTTTTTGCAGGGATTGCACCCTGAAAAAGGAGGGCACGCTGCTCTGCTGCTATATTTATCTAACCAGCCAGTGGCCCGGGCGAGCTCAGCTGCTGAGTGTCCTGCTCAGGGGGTGATGTCCACAGTTCCCCCGGAAGACACAAATTTGAAAGTAACTTACTGCGCAGCCTCGGAATAACAAGAGCTGCGGATACCAGGTGGAGGAGCCTGCCCTGCTCTAGGGCTGCCTGAACTCCAGCCTGTGGAGGTCCTAGCGTTCCACATCCATCCTGGGGACACACACCATCTGGGGAGTGTCATACTGACAGCTGGTTCCTGGAGGATCAGCCTCGCCACCCCGTCATGCTGGCAAGCCGTAAGGGCTGCCTTACAAACAGCACCCACCACGCTGGTGGCTTCTGAATCTACCCTTAGAAGACAGACGATCTAGTCTCGCTTTCAACCAAGCTCCACAAGGTCAGAGGCCTATGGGAGCCAGATAGGTGGGGTCTTGGCTCAATGCTTCTGCCCAGTCTGGCTGTGTGTAGCTTGAACTCTACCTACTGTCTCTTGTGTTGCCTTCTTTAGCCAAGCACACCTCCCTGAACACTGTCTAGAATCCAGTCCCCACAGGGGGTCATAGCGGAGGTTCTCTCCTAATCTACTGGCAGTTAAATTAAATCAACCAGAATGTGAGCTCTGACCCCTCAGTCCACCCCCTTCTGGACAGTTTACCAGAGCCCTCCACACCCGGTACCAACTAGGAGCTGAGCATCCGTCTGAACAGCGGTACTTTATTTCTGGGATGAACTCCTTGGTGGAGACATCGAGTCAGACTCCCAGAGGAGTGCTGGCAGTTCTCTGAGCCCCATGGCCCAACAGACCATATCGCCCAGGCTACCTTACATTCCATCTTCCGAGTAGATTTGGCCAATGGGTAACGTGCAGAAAAGAGGACTCCAGGCAGGGTACTTCTACTCTTCGGCTCCTTCCCCAACTCTGTGGCCTGACATTGGCCAGCTCTTGTGGACCCCTGCTCAACTTCAGTAGTGTGGGGGACTTGGCCCCCCTCCCAGAAAACTACCTGTGTGGGGTTCACAACTTGTATTCCTGTCCTGAGCCTACTGCCAGATTAAAATCCCGTTGTCTTAAATTTACCGTCACAATTCAGGACAATAGAAGTCTGAGGTCAGGATGGGCTGTCTGTGGGCCCTGAGGAGTCTTCTCCTGCCTATTACAGCTCTGGAGCCTCCAGGTGTCCATCCTTGACTGACGGCCGTCTCACTCTGGGCACCTTCACACGGCTTCTGTGTCATCTCTCCCATGTCTCCCATCTCTCATAAGGACACTTGTGGTTGGATTCAGGGCTGTCCATAATGTGTGGGATGACCTCACCTCAGACTTATTCCCACCGTTATGCTTGCAAGACTCTTTCCAAATAAGATCCCATTCATAGATCCCAGAAGGCAGCACACAGACCCACCTTTGGGGGAGCTGCCTTCTGCCCACTGCACAGCTGACAGTTTCTTTGACACATGCACATCCTGACATGGCCTGGTGGTTACAGACTCTCCAACATGGCTGCCACTGTCTGGTGGCCCTTAGATCAAAGGGGCACAGAGTTTTCGAGACTCCACTGATTCTGTGGGAGTTGGTCTCAAAGTAGCTGCACTCACGTCACCTTACCCTTGATACCAGGACATAATTTCTGGAAGGCATCATCTGTTGTCAGTGTGATTTTCTTACATGAAATCATTCTCCCCAGGTCAGTTGGCTCAGCAGGAGTCCACCTGCTTCTTAGAGACTTTCACAAGATGTGGCTGAGCCCACCATGTCTGTGCCATGATGGTGCCAACCCTTAAATCTCCATACTGCTGTCTCTGACTTATCCACCATTTTATCCCACTCCCCTCAGCTGAACTCCAGGCTGCTGCTATTACCAGGCTCTGAGGAGGTGGTTCTCTTTGGCCCATGGCAGGGGACAAGGATTGTAGCTGGCCAACAGCTAGTGCTGATGATAGGGAGGGTCTCCTGATGATAAAACCCCTTTGCCCACCTCCCGAGCCCCACCAGCTTTCTAAAGCTCACACAAACGGATGAGCATGAGTCAGTGAACGTGAGTCGAGGAGGGCAGAGGCCAAGTCAGGCACACCAGGGACCGCTCAGGGACTCAGCTCGGTGGCCTCAGCTTTCTGGGGCTTATGCTGCTGACCAACAAGGAGAGAGACTGTGGAGGGGCCCTTCCCTGACCTCCGCAGCCAGGCCAGGGCTGAGGCTGGGAAAATGGCATCAGGGCTTTCCTGGACCGACCTGGATTCACAACTCACCTCTTCCGCACAGAGCTCCTGGCATGTGACAGCTGCTATAGGCCACATGGGCCTGGAACCCAGGCAGGGGAAGCCCTGGGATCCTGCCAAGGTTGCCCTCAGGGATGTCACCTGGTCGAGCAGGGGCCGCTGCCATGAGACTAAGTAAAGGAGAAGGGAAGCTGAGCCCCAGTGCTCTCTACTGGCGGAAAGGGCCGAAGGCTTTCTGAACCCCAGAGCTGCTCTGCCTCCTCCTAGGAGTCCTCGGTCTCCCACCGACTGGGAAACATCATTACTGTGTGCTGATAACTCAGGAGCCAGTGCAGCACCGTGGGGAAGGGACTCAGGATTCCCTCTTAGAGGACTGGCCTGACCCAGCTCCCCAAAAGAAGAAAGAGCGAGCAAGTTTGAATAGGGATGTGGCTGTGAAAGTGTAGGGGTAATTTTAAGCCTTTCAAATTTATTCTCAGATTTTGAGGATTAAAATAAAAAGAACATTTGATTTGCACATTATAACAGAAATGGAATTTTAAAGAGCATGAACAAGAAGAGAAAATATTCCAAAAGCCTTCAGTCAATACTAGCTGCTATGTAAGATCCTTAATTTTAGCTGTGAGCTTCCTGGCAGGTTGAGCAAAAAGGGCAATAACATGAATCATGCACTGTCAGGAGCCTGGATACGCTGTGATATTCCAGACCAAGCTTTCTGGCCTTCTTGCCCCTTGGTTCACTCAGACCACTAGACCTCAAGCCCGAACTTTTGGTTTGGAAAATGTGCCTGGGTGAGGAAAGAATGGAGATCAGAGCTATGGAGAGATGCAGGGCAAGGGTAGGGCTACCTTGCATAGAAGAGCTTGGCAGAAAGCAGGAGGAGTTGACAAAGGGCAGCCAATGTGCCTGGGAAACCCCTGGGAGCAGCATAGGCATAGGGCAGTGCTGAGCAGAGAGGGTTAAGGCCTCGACAGCTCAAGGGGCTGGCAGGGCCAGGCCAGTAGCTGCTGAGCAGTTCAGAAATCTATTTTCCTAAGCTCTTGGCCTGAAACCTCAAGTGTATTTTCCCTAAGTTTTATTTTTTCTTTGACCCCAAACTCTGGTAAATTTAAGGGAAATTTAATTATGGTGTTTTGGGTCCATTTACACTTAAACCCTCTCAGCATTTTTTCCAGGACCCTTTTGCAGTTCAGCACGCCTTGGGAGCCTTCTAAATGAATGTTTTATTATTATTTTTTTTTTAAAAAAAGGCCTTGCCCCCCCCCCCCCCCCCCCCGCCTAGCCTCCCTGCCAAGAATAAACAAGTCCTAACTCTGCAGGCTCCGGCAGAACTAGGAATCTAGGCCCCAGGGCCCAGCAGACCTTGCCACGCCCTCCTCCTCCACCCCAGTGGGGCTCTATTGCGAGGCACCCCTTCCTCTCAGTCCACTGGCCCCTCCTGGCATCACCTATGGCAGTCTTGCTCTGTCCCCCTCTGCTGGTTGGACATCACACCCATCATCCACATGTGACCTTCAACCAAGTAGCCAGCTCAAGTCTCCAGAGTTTAGAGCAGCCAGCTTGGGTGCATGTGTGTGTGTGCCTGTGTGGCCAGGAGAATGTGAAGTTAGTAGTCCTAGTAGCCCCTCACAGCAGCCCCATTTGACAGATGGGGAATAAGGAGGCATTGTCCTAGTACTCAGTCACCAGAGATGTTTCAGCTGAGTTTGGGAATAGTAGAATGCTTAGGGAGTCCTGAGAGCAGTCAGGACCCCACCAACCCTGGGCTAAGCGGCCCCCCATCAGCCTGAGGGAGAGAACCAGCCCACCCACAAGGCCTGGTGAGACTCAGAGGATGCCGGAGGTGGAGGTGCTAGCACACAGGCTGCTCACAGCTACTTGGAAGAGGTAGCTGTTTGCAGAGAACTCATCAGATACAGGCTGCCAACTCACGACCCGCAGCCCATTCTGGAGCTCACTTTCCAGGAGTGTCCCAGCTAGGGCCCAAGGGCCATAGGCCCAAATTTCAGCACCTCTGTGTCCAGCAGAATCCAGTAAGAGGATAAGGCCTGCCTAGAAGTGGACCTGGGTCCCTAAGCTAGTCCCTGCCCCATTCACAAACTAGGCATGCTCGGCCTGGCAGTTAACTGAGGGGAAATAGATGAAGGGGTGAAGGACAGAGGCCAGCTCTCTCCAATCCACATCTGAAGGTGCTTTTGCTGCTGGACTCCACCTCTGCT